GCTGCCTCCCCAAGGACTGTGTGGATAGCGGAAGCAGCGGCTAAGGGAGAGGAGGCCCGGGAGAGGGAGAGGGAGTATGTGCCGGCATAGGCCCCCGACGGCCTCCTGAACCAGGAGCCGGACTGGTTCTCGAGAGCCCGGGGGTCATCTGGAGCCCCTTGCACCCCGGGAGATTCCGGGACTTAGAGTCTCTGTGGGAGTGGGAAGGGGGAATGGGTGTGGTGTCTGGCGCTGTCTCAGGAAGGTGTTTTGTGGTTCAAGTCACCACCAAACTGTTAGGAGGCACTGGACCTTTTTAGCTTTTAAATCGAGGGACCAGCACCGGGTGTGCAGCCGGTGTTCCCACCCTGAGCCAAAATGTCAGGAGCCGCTCCGGCCCCTAATACGGCGATGGCACACATTAGACGTGTGATAAGTATCACGGAGCAAAGAACGAGGCAAGGAACCCGCTAGCATGTAAACAGTGGCTTTCCTGGAACCGTGTCCCTATGGTAGTATAAGAAGCGGATGTCTCCTGGCGTCCAGCTCAGGCGGCGTCCATGAGGGCTCCAGGGCTGGAAGAGAACTCTGTTTATCCTATTCCAAGCTGTGTGGGACCGGGTCCTCCCTACCGTAGGGCCCAAGCACAGGCCCTCCTTTCAGCGCGCCTTGCCTCCTTCTTGTCATTAAACCCGGGGCTCAGATGAGGAAAGATTTTTGCAAAGCATGGGAGTTAGAACAAGAACAATTTACTTGCCCACTTCAGTCGGTGTACACATAGGGACACAGCCAATAGTTTTCTCATCCCTCTCTGGCGACCGCACACCTACTCCCCTCAGGAACTAGCTGGAACAAATCGTGCAGAGCCCCTGTAGTTTGTTTTACAAATTTATCCTAATTGGACTTCTGTGCTGTGTGAGAAACTGCATCAATTTGAGTTGATTCACTATTTTAGGAAACGCCTTGCGAATTCAATGGCGGAGGGTTTTGCTGGAACAAAACTTCCCGCTAGCTTAGGGACTGGGATGCTTCTGGAATGCGTGGGATGGGAGAAGTAGAGCGTGGACAGTTTGCAAGAGGTGCCAGGGCTTCCAAGGCACTGAAGGGCTCTATGCTTCCCGAAGATTCCGCAACTTCTAAAGGAGTTATCTTCAGGCGGTTCCTAACTTAACCCAGCCTGGAGCACCTGGCTCACCAGAAGCCCTGGTGAAATCGAAACCGTTTTCCCCTCTTCGTTCAGGGAGTCTGGGATCTGTGTTTTGAGGAGCAACCGCAGGCAGGCTCACGGGGGCCCCTCCACTCAAGGTCTTTCTAAGTGAAGTTCTTGATTCGCCCCAAGGGATGTTGGAACAAGTCGGTGTCGACTCAGAGGCTTGTGTTCTCTGATCGTGTCACCTCTAATTAGCAGGTTGTTACAGTTTGCAAATCTCCAGGTCTCAGTTTCCCCATCTGTAAGAGGAAAGCTGAAATGGGCAACTTGGGGGCTGGGCCTCACCTGAAGTTCTGTGCCACTGGAGCAGAAATCCAACTTTCCTCTGACTTGGGGTTCTAAATTCAGAAGGCAGGAGACCACCTAAAATTGACTGGACCAGAAACCCACAAGACTGGCAGGCAGGGGTGTGATGTGAGTCTGTGTGTGGATGTGTGCTCTTTGCAGAGTCTGAGAAGCCATTTGGTCTATTTCTGGGGCTCAAAATACTACCATGCTGTTATTTATTTGAGTTCATCTAGATTCTGTGATGACTTTTGGAACCAGGGCTCTCTCACTTTGTTTGGACCCCTTCTATAGGCAGGTCTGGTGCCTGGGATCCCATCAGGTTAGCATAGGGTTGGGGGGCGGTGAGACTGTGGGCTTCTTAGCCAGCAGGCACTACATTTAAGGGAAACGTCTGAATTCCTGTCTAGTAGGTAGGCCCAGCCGCTGAAGAGATAAAAGTCTTGGGAGTTGGGACCAGGATTGGCAGGTGGAGTTCTCTTCTCGACTCTGGGAAAACCCAGTGGAGAGCCAGCCCCAGACATGTACCACAACCTGTAAGGAGGTTCCTGTCTGTGAATTTAGGTTTTTCTTGCATTGAAAATGTAAAACGGGTCATGCTTGCCTGGCTGTTGGGACTTACTGGGCAGCTGGGAGGTGGGGTGGGAATGTCAGAAGCTGCTCAGCCCTGGCCTCGGGAACCCTGAGATTCTAGATTTATCCTCTTGATTTCTAGTGTTCCTGTGGCTCCCCCCAGGAATGCAGGGCCTAGCGGTGTGTGTGTGTGTTGGGAGAATCAGGGGCATCAGCTCCTTCCCTAAAGTATGGGAATGGCCATCAGCAGACCCAGGCCAAACTCCAGCAGAGAGGAGTCACGACTCTGAATCCCCGTTCCTAGGCAAGGCAGCCTTGCCGTGGCCCACACGAGAGGGCAATTGGCACCCTCTCCCGCCCCCCCTCCAAGGGATCATACCATCACCTCCCCATTTTTTTAATAATTTCTTAAATAGTATAGGTGGTTTCCTAATATCATAAACATTAACTCGGCAAACATTTGTTGAGCCTCTACTCTGTGCAAGGCACTGGGAAGTATTAAGACAGAGTGCATCTTTTAAATATCTCACAGCCTGACGGAGAAGTTGCTTATTTCTGGATGACAAAATCTAGGCTCTAAGAGGTTATGTGTGCAAGAGGTCCCTCTGTGGCAGAGCTGGGACTCGAACCCAGACCATATTAGTTTACTTCTACCTCCTTTTCCAGGGATCTTGGCCGCTCTGTTGAGATGGATTTCCTTTGCTCCATTGGATGGGCACTGAATTAATTAATAGTGGTCTGGGCGTGAGGGCTCATGGTTTGTAAGGGCAGTCAGTAGTGGAGTGAGGACTGGGGTAGTCTCAGACTTAATGCGCAGGGGGCATCACCAAGCCACCCTAGGGTCAGTGCAGAGACCAGCTCTAGAGAAGGGCCAAGGGCACGTCTCTTTGAGTCACTTGAGTATTTCGTTGGGGGACAGATTTTCCCCTATTCTGCCACAGCTGTGGAGTCATCATTTCCAGCCTTCTGACCCCCTTCCTAACTGAGCCTCCATTCTACCCGTCAGCTCTCAGGAGGCCCGGCGGCCAGGCGGTTCCTGGGTTCCTCCAATGCCTCGAGCGGGGAAAAGACGCGCAGAGCGTGTCTCCCCTCTCCTTGCGGTCAAGGTTGCACTCCATTCCCCAGCACGGACTAACCATGGGAAAAGCGCTACCTTGGCCGATTAGAGCCTCTCCCTCTCGGGCATGTACAAGGAGCCTTTGAATACGCTGCTCTTTTCGCCAACAACTGTCCCTCCCTAGGTCCCCGCCCCCATGCTCTCAACGCCTAGACCAGCACGAGGCCCCAGGACAGCGCGATCTAATCAGTCCCGCGTCGGATAAGCTTCTAATTAAAAGAGCCCTCCCTCCCCTCCGCTGACGCTTTCGCCTCGGCCCCTCCGGGGGGGTCTTGAGGGAGGGGGTTGGAGGCTGGCCTTTGTCCCCGGGTCTTCGTGTCCTGTAAGGTGGGGGGCCTTGGGAACCTCGCTGGACGAGGAGCCGACGCGGCGGGTGCGGGAACTGCAGCCTGCAATCCCACAGTTGGCGGAGCCCGCCTTCAAGAACAGCACCGTGCCCTGGGCCACAGCTTCTACTCATCAGTTCAGAAATGGAGAAGGGTTTGTCTAGGGACAATTTCTTTGCGGCTTCTGTTTCTCCTGGTTAAAAAAATTTCTTTCAAAATTCGGCCTTTTTTCTGCAAAATGTGGCACTGAGAGCCAAATTTCGTTCGTAAGCTGACAGGCCTCAATCAGGGCTGTGCCTTTGCTCCCAAAAGGAGGCCCAAGGTTCTCACCCAGCCCTGACAGCTAATGGGGCGGGGGGTTATCTTTGCCTACTTAGCAGGCAATAGATTGAGGACTCTGGGGTCATGCGAATTATAAAAGCTTCTTAAGTTGTCAACTTGTGGCACCAAGCAGTGTGCGAGACTTGGCCTGCCTAGTACATTCCGGTAATTGGGACCTGTACCCACCCTCTTCCCCACTCCACTCCAACACGTAACACTGCCCGGTGTGGGTAGGAGAGGCTGGATTTTTGTTTTCCTTTGGGGGGTTATGTTTCAAAGATTGGGGTAATGGTCTCCTTCCTCTTTCCATTCTAAGTCTTCACAGACACTTGTCACAGAGCCTCTGTCACGCCTGGGGCAAGAGTAAGGGGTGAGGGGCCTTTTCACCCACCCACTCTCCCGAAATTGAATGGAGTTTGGAGATCCAGTGCAGGGACTGGGTGGGGGTGGGCTGGCACTGTGGCCCTGCATGAAGGCTGTGTGAGCGTCAGGGCAGATCTCATTCACCTCCTGTCCTGGACCCTCAGTCCTGAGACTCTTGGGGACTGCGTGTATAGAAGGAGGGAATCCCACTAGTCAGTCTGTTCAGGGTTCCAGGACTGATCTTTATCTTAGCTGGAGGATGCTTTTTCCCCAGAGATGGCAACAGTTTCCCAAAAGCTGGTGAGGAATAGATTTAAAGCAATTTAATAACAATTACAGAAAGAGATTACATTTTTCAATCAAGACACTAATCAAGACTTTTTTTTTTTTTTTTTTTTTTTTT